ATCGAGCATAGATCCAGTATTTGGAATTATTTAGAATAGTATTTGAGCCCAGGTCTGGGGTACAGACATGGGCTGGGGTTGGGGCTAAGCTGGGGATGAGATTCTCTATAAGTCACCATCTGCGCTGCTGGTGCAGCACAACTCAGGAGTGGCTTCAAGCTAAGACATTGGGTTGTTTAGGGGGGGGGGGGGGGGCTACCCAGGGGAGGGTGGAGAGGGGTGGATTGATGGTGGTTTTATGGATAGGGGGAGTGAGTTGAGAAGGGGAGGAGAGGAGGGTATTGTGATAATTATATGACATGGCCCATGTCTGTCCCTAGATACCCAGCTGCCATTGCAACAGGAAGTGAAGAAATTGAATTATCTGACCATGATGACTAAATGAATATCGAAACAGAGTAATTCTAAGTGAATTTGGCTTAGTTCATACCAGTGTCTATTCTCTAATCTTACTACATTTACATTTGACATTTTAGTCATTTTAGCAGACGCTCTTATCCAGAGCGACTTACAGTTAGTGAGTGCATACATTTTATTTTTTTATTTTTCATACTACAGACAGTGTCTTCTCTTGCCACCCACGCTGTGGGGGGTTGGCTCATCTAGAACAATGGTCTTCAACAGCAACATAGCAGCAAATTATTGTTATCACCCTGAAATGAATCATCAAGCACGTCGGACGCTATAAAAACATTTTTAAAAACATTTTAATGGCAACTCTTGCTCACCGTTTAAAAATACTCCACAGACACGCATACACACACAAACACATGCACACACACACACACACTCCAATCTCTCAAGGCAATAAAGCTCCTATTGTTCAGTGGGCTGTGTCTGGCCAGACAATGAGGCTGCTTTCATACAGCCTTAACCCCAGGCCAGCCCAACCCCAGGCCAGCCCAACACCAACCCCAGCCCAACCCCAGGCCAGACAATGAAGATGTTTTCCTACAGCCTTCAGCCCAGTCCAACCCCCAGCCCAACCCCTACCCAACCCGAGGCCAGCTCAACTCCAGGCCAGCCCAACCCCAACCCCGGCCCAACCCCAGCCCAACCCCAACCCCAGGCCAACCCAACCACAAGCCAGCCCAACCACAGCCCAGGCCAGCCCAACCCCAGGCCACTACAACTGCAGCCCAACCCCAGCCCAACCCCAGCCCAGCCCAACCCCAGGCCAGCAAACCCCAGCAAAATCCAACACTAGCCAAACCGCAGCCCAGCCTCTATGACCCAGCCTAAACCCAGCCCAACCCCAGGAAAGCCCAACCCCAGGAAAGCCCAAACCAACCCCAGCCCAACCCCAACCCAACCCAACCCCAGGCCACCCCAACCCCACCCCAACCCCAGGCCACACCAACCCCAGCCCTAGCGCAGCCCAACCCAACCCCAGCCCAACCCAACCCCAGGCCAGCCCAACCCCAGGCCAACCCCAGCCCAAAACCAGGCCAGCCCAACCCCAGCCCAACCCCAGCCCAGCCCAGCCCAGCCCAACCCAACCCCAGCCCAACCCAAGGCCAGACAATGAGGCTGTTTTCCTACAGACTTAACCCCAGGCCAGCCCAACCCCAGGCCAGCCCAACCACAGCCCAGGCCAGCCCAACCCCAGGCCACTACAACCCCAGCCCAACCCCAGCCCAGCCCAACCCCAGGCCAGCAAACCCCAGCAAAACCCAACACCAGCCCAATCCCAGCCCAGCCTCTGTGACCCAGCCCAAACCCAGCCCAACCCCAGGCAAGCCCAACCCCAGCCCAACCCAACCCCAGCCCAACCCCAGCCCAACCCAACCCCAGGCCACCCCAACCCCAGCCAAACCACAGCCACAGACAAACCCCAGGCCACCCCAACCCCAGCCCAAACCAACCCCAGGCCAGCCCAACCCCAGCCCAACCGTAGCCCAGCCCAGCCCAACCCCAGGCCAGCCCAAACCCCTGGCCAGCCCAATCCCAGCCCTACCACAACCCCAGCCCTGCCCAACCCCAGGCCAGGCCAGCCCAACCCAACCCCAGCCCAACCCCAGGCCAGCCCATCCCCAGGCCAGCCCATCCCCAGCCCAGCCCAACCTCAGCCCGGCCCAACCCCAGCCCTGCCCAACCCCAGGCCAGCCCAACCCAACCCCAGCCCAACCCCAGGCCAGCCCAACCCCAGGCAAGCCCAACACAAGCCCAGCCCCAGCCCAGCACCACAACCCCAGGCCAGCCCAACCCCAGGCCAGCCCCAGCCCAGCACCACAACCCCAGGCCAGCCCAGCCCCAGCCCCAGCCCAGCCCAACTTCATCCCAACTCCAGCCCAACCCCAGCCCAACCACAGCCCAGCCCAACCCCAGGTCAGACCATCCCCAGGCCAGTCCAACCCCAGCCCAACCCCAGGCCAGCCCAACACCAGCCAAGCCCCTGCCCAGCACCACAACCCCAGGCCAGCCCAACCCCAGCCCAACCCCAGCCCCAGCCCAGCCCCAGCCCAACCCAACTTCATCCCAACTCCAGCCCAACCCCAGCCCAACCACAGCCCAGCCCAACCCCAGGTCAGTCCAACCCCAGGCCAGTCCAACCCGAGCCCAACCCCAGGCCAGCCCAACCTGATTTTGATTAGATTTTGTCTTATTAATTGTATATGCAGGACTCCCTTGTGAAAGAGACCCTGGTCTCAATGGTGACTCCCTGTTCAAATAGGTTTTTTAAATAACTAATTGAGAGGAATAGAGGAAACAAGGATGGAGGAAGCAAGGGTTTGACAGCTAGTAATATTTTCAGACTCTTCTTCTAGAATCTAGCTCCATCTGGTTTAGCTAGGGAGAGGCTCAGTTAGGGAGGGGTAGCGTGTGTGTGTGTGTGGTGTGTGTGCGTGTGCGTGCGTGCGCGCGCGTGCATGCGTGTGTATGTGTATGTGCGTGTGCATGTGTGTGTGTGTGTGTGTGTGTGTGTGAGTGTGTGTGTGTGTGTGTGTTCTCCCTCCCATTTCATTGATTTTCCTCCTCTAATGGAGTTCTCCTCATGATTCCACATTAATATTTCACTACCTCTTCTATCCATTTCCTGCCTGCATGGCTCTTAAGCCTAGTTGGACGGTGATTGGTTGCTTAACGGGAGTGCTGAGCAGGCAAGCCCCAGCCCAGCACCACAACCCCAGGCCAGCCCAACCCCAGCCCAGCCCAACTCCAGCCCAACTCCAGCCCAACCCAACCCCTTCCCAACCCCAGGCCACCCAACCCCAGGCCAGCCCAACCTGATTTTGATTAGCCCAACCCCAGGCCAGCCCAACCCCTGCCCAGCCCAGACCAACCCAACCCCAGCCCAACCCCAGGCCAGCCCAACACCAGGCCAGTCCAACACCAGCCCAGCCCCAGCCCAGCACCACAACCCCAGGCCAGCCCAATCCCAGGACAGCCCCAGCCCAGCACCACAACCCCAGGCCAGCCCAACCCCAGCCCAGCACCACAACCCCAGGCCAGCCCAACCCCCAGCCCAGCCCCAGCCCAGCCCAACTCCAGCCCAACTCCAGCCCAACCGCAGCCCAGCCCAACCACAGCCCAGCCCAACCCCAGGTCAGCCCAACACCAGGCCATTCCAACACCAGGCCAACCCCAGGCCAGCCCAACCTGATTTTGATTCGATTTTGTCTTATTAATTGTATATGCAGGACTCCCTTGTGAAAGAGACCCTGGTCTCAATGGTGACTCCCTGTTCAAATAGGTTTTTAAAATACCTAATTGAGAGGAATTGAGGAAACAAGGATGGAGGAAGCAAGGGTTTGACAGCTAGTAATGTTTTCAGACTCTTCTTCTAGAATCTAGCTCCATCTGGTTTAACTAGGGAGAGGCTCAGTTAGGGAGGGGTAGTGTGTGTGTGTGTGTGTGTGTGTGTGTGTGTGTGTGTGTGTGTGTGTGTGTGTGTGTGTGTGTGTGTGTGTGTGTGTGTGTGTGTGTGTGTGTGTGTGTGTGTGTGTGTGTGTGCGTGCGTGCGTGCGTGCGTGTGTGTGTGTGTGTGTTCTCCCTCCCATTTCATTGATTTTCCTCCTCTAATGGAGTTCTCCTCATGATTCCACATTAATATTTCACTACCTCTTCTATCCATTTCCTGCCTGCATGGCTCTTAAGCCTAGATGGACGGTGATTGGTTGCTTACTGGGAGTGCTGAGCATGCCTGCCTGTCTGCCTGGTTGATTCCAGCTCCAGCAACTACAGAAGAGAGTGTAAAGAGAGAGAGACAGGGAGAGAAGATAGAGAGAGAGAGAGAGAGAGAGAGAGATATGAGAGAGAGAGAGAGAGAGAGAGAGAGAGAGAGATAGAGAGAGAGAGATCTATACGATGAGAGAGATCAGAGACGTATAGAGAGATATAGAGAGAGCATATGCCTAGAGATAGAGATATATATCGAGAGATAGAGTTTCCAAATTGAGCAGCAGCTGCTTGAAAAAATTAGCTTCTACAAATATTGAAATTGACATGGTTTTTAGAGTGAAGTACATTGGAAAAAACAAAAAGAACTGCAAGACTGAATGGGAGACAAAACAAGCAACAAATGAAGAAGATAGGCTTGAGAAAAAGTATCTATTTTTATAAAATTGTACAGTTATCTTAGCTAGCTGGATTGTTTACCAGTTGCTAAGCAGTTGCTAGGGACTCTTCTAAAAGAAGCTAGCTAGCTAACAATTCAGAACAATAATCTCTAATTACACTAGAGACAATAATACAAGAAACAACACTGTTTTGAACATTGTAGCCAACATGGTTTGATGATGGGACGGAACCATAAATGCCTGTTTGCAGATCTTACCAGTTGCAAAACAAAAGCAATTTTAATATTTAACACCAAACATATGGAAAAGGGTTATTTGCAACCATTTCCCTTTCTCAAAAAAGAAAGGCATCAGCCAAGCATGTCAGATCAGCATTTTTGAAGGAGCTGACCAGAGCAACACATATTAAACAGTCAACTTATACAATAATGGAACTGTTTTGATACAAGGCAATGATTCAAGCCTCCAGGCTTTTGAGAATGTGTTTGCTACCCTAAAAGTAGAAGCTGAACTCATCTCAGAAGCTGAGGAAAAAGTAAAGGAGGGAGATGATGGAGAAAAGCCCCAGCAGCCCCCAACAGCCTCTGTGACCCAGCAAGAAGCCCTCAGTGTCCCTCTACCTACAGCTGCAGCAGACAGAGCCAAGGACATGCATACAACACCAAGAACACCTGCTATGCAACGTTTCCACAACACCCTCTCTCTAGTTGAAGCAGAGGTCATAGAACTCAGAGAGAACAAGCTTCAAGAGGATGACACTGTCCAGAAACTGAAAGAAGAGATGAAACAGTTCAGGGAGGAAAGCAGAGCATCTATTGCTAAATTAAAAAGCAGAATGGACAAACTGAGTCAGACAAATGATGACCTCAGAGACCATCTGAGCACAACAAGAGAGGTACATTGACACCCTCAACCAGCAGCTGGTCATTATGTCCTCTGCATCTAGAGAACATGTCCACCAGCTTGGTACAACACAGGTAGAAACTGAGACCAGCATAACCAGCATGGCCTCCACCACACAGCCTGATGACACTGCACCAGCCTCCCAGTCTGATCCAGCCCAGGTCAGTCTACCAGCCTCCCAGTCTGCTCCCGCCCAGGTCAGCCTACCAGCCTCCCAGTGTGCTCCAGCACAGTGTGCTCAAGCCCAGTTCAACCTACCAGCCTCCCAGTCTGATCCCGCCCAGGTCAACCTACCAGCCTCCCAGTCTGCTCCAGCCCAGGTCAACCTACCAGCCTCCCAGTCTGCTCCAGCCCAGGTCAGCCAACCAGCCTCCCAGTCTGCTCCAGCCCAGGTCAGCCTACCAGCCTCCCAGTCTGCTCCAACCCAGGTCAACCTACCAGCCTCCCAGTCTGCTCCAGCCCAGGTCAGAATACCAGCCTCCCAGTCTGCTCCAGCCCAGGTCAACCTACCAGCCTCCCAGTCTGCTCCAGCCCAGGTCAACTTACCAGCCTCCCAGTCTGCTCCAGCCCAGGTCAACCTACCAGCCTCCCAGTCTGCTCTAGCCCAGGTCAACCTACCAGCCTCCCAGTCTGCTCCAGCCCAGGTCAACCTACCAGCCTCCCAGTCTGCTCCAGCCCAGGTCAGCCTACCAGCCTCCCAGTCTGCTCCAGCCCAGGTCAGCCTACCAGCCTCCCAGTCTGCTCCAGCCCAGGTCAACCTACCAGCCTTCCAGTCTGCTCCAACCTCCCAGTCTGCTCCACCTAGACAATCACCCACAACTGCAATCTTTATCGATTCAAATGGGAAGTTCTTGGTCCAGGAAAGATTATTCCCTAGACACCAGGTGTAAAAGTTATGGTGTCCTACAACTGAGAGTGCAATGCAGCTACACAGTCAGACCAGGATTGACACCCCTGACAACATCATCATCCACACCGGCACAAACGACCATCGTGCCAAAGGTGAAAATGTATCTGGGGCAGTGAGAAGAGTGGCAGAACGGGCCCAGGCTATGTTCCCAACAACCAATCTAGTTGTTTCCACCCTCCTACCAAGAAAACACTTCCCAGGACAGTTGATTGACAAAATAAATCAACAGATCTTGATCAGGAGAGTGTCAGAACCTTTGCTAAGGACCTTAAGGATGCAACACTTGGCAGGGACCCACACACACATCACCCCAGCAGCAGAGACATTTACATTTACATTACATTTACCTCATTTAGCAGACGCTCTTATCCAGAGCGACTTACAAATAGGTGCATTCACCTTATAGCCAGTGGGATAACCACTTTACAATGTTTATTTATTATTATTATTTTTTTTATTTTTTTGCGGGGGGGGGGTTGGCTTGGAGTAAAGGGGGGGGTAGAAGGATTACTTTATCCTATCCCAGGTATTCCTTAAAGAGGAATCGTGAGGGAGCTTGTTCCACCATTGGGGTGCCAGAGCAGCGAGCAGTTTTGACTGGGCTGAGCGGGAACTATGCTTCCGCAGAGGTAGGGGAGCCAGCAGGCCAGAGGTGGATGAACGCAGTGCCCTCGCTTGGGTGTAGGGACTGATCAGAGCCTGAAGGTACGGAGGTGCCGTTCCCCTCACAGCTCCGTAGGCAAGCACCATGGTCTTGTAGCAGATGCGAGCTTCAACTGGAAGCCAGTGGAGTGTGCGGAGGAGCGGGGTGACGTGAGAGAACTTGGGAAGGTTGAACACCAGACGGGCTGCAGCATTCTGGATGAGTTGTAGGGGTTTAATGGCACAGGCAGGGAGCCCAGCCAACAGCGAGTTGCAGTAATCCAGACGGGAGATGACAAGTGCCTGGATTAGGACCTGTGCCGCTTCCTGTGTAAGGCAGGGTCGTACTCTCCGAATGTTGTAGAGCATGAACCTACAGGATCGGGTCACCGCCTTGATGTTAGCGGAGAACGACAGGGTGTTGTCCAGGGTCATGGAACGGGCAGTCCTTCCCCGTGAGGAAGAGCAGCTCCGTCTTGCCGAGGTTCAGCTTGAGGTGGTGATCCATCATCCATACTGATATGTCTGCCAGACATGCAGAGATGGGATTCGCCACCTGGTTATCAGAAGGGGGAAAGGAGAAGATTAGTTGTGTGTCGTCAGCGTAGCAATGATAGGAGAGGCCATGTGAGGATATGACAGAGCCAAGTGACTTGGTGTATAGCGAGAACAGGAGAGGGCCTAGAACTGAGCCCTGGGGGACACCAGTGGTGAGAGCACGTGGTGCGGAGACAGCTTCTCGCCACGCCACTTGGTAGGAGCGACCGGTCAGGTAGGACGCAATCCAAGAGTGAGCCGCGCCGGAGATTGCCCAGCTCGGAGAGGGTGGAGAGGGCTGGTTCACAGTATCAAAGGCAGCAGACAGGTCTAGAAGGACAAGAGCAGAGGAGAGAGAGTTAGCTTTAGCAGTGCGGAGAGCCTCTGTGACACAGAGAAGAGCAGTCTCAGTTGAATGACCAGTCCTTGAAACCTGACTGGTTTGGATCAAGAAGGTAATTCTGAGAGAGATAGCAGAGAGTTGGCTAAAGACGGTCACGCTCAATAGTTTTTGGAGAGAAAAAGAAGAAGGGATACTGGTTCTGTAGTTGTTGACATCAGAGGGATCGAGTGTTGGTTTTTTGAGAAGGGTTGCAACTCTCGCTCTCTTGAAGACGGAAGGGACTTAGCCAGCGGTCAAGGATGAGTTGATCAGCGAGGTGAGGTAGGGGAGAAGGTCACCGGAGATGGTCTGGAGAAGAGAGGAGGGGATAGGGTCAAGCGGGCAGGTTGTTGGGGCGGCCTGCCCGTCACAAGTCGCAAGATTTTAATCTGGAGAGAGAGGGGAGAAAGAGTCAAAGCGTAGGGCAGTGTGAGCAGGACCAGCAGTGTCATTTGACTTAACAAACGAGGATCGGATGTCGTCAACCTTCTTTTCAAAATGGTTGACGAAGTCATCCACAGAGAGGGAGGAGGGGGGGGGGGGATTCAGCAGGGAGGAGAATGTGGCAAAGAGCTCCTAGGGTTAGAGGCGGATGCTTTGGAATTTAGAGTGTATAAAATGGCCTTGGAGAAAACAGATGAGAAATTGAAAGGGTGAAAAGATCTTGGATTTTTTTTTTGGGGGGGGGGGGGGTTTTTTTTTCCCCCCACTTTTTTTCCCCAAATTTCCTCCTCTTCCCCTTAATTTTTCCATTTTTCCTTTCCTGCCTTTGGCTTTTAAAGCCCTTTGGAGGTGATTGGTTTTTGCTAAACCGGGAGTTTAAAGGAAACCCCCCCAAAGAAAAAAGGGAGCCCCCCCCAGCCCCCCACTCCAAATAAAGCCCAACCAAACCCCTTTCCACCCCGGGAAAACCCCAGGCCACCCACCTGAGGATTAAACCCCACCCCCCAACCCCCCCGCCCAACCAACCCCCCAGCCCCCCCCGGGCCCAGCCCCCCAGGGTAAACACCAGCCCACCCCACCCCCCACAAAGGAAATCCCAGGAAACCCCCACCCACCCCACACCCCCCGGACCCAACCCCGCCAGAACCAAAACCCCCGGGGCCACCCCCCCACCCCGAAGCCAAAACCCGAATAGCCCACCGCGACCCCCAAAACACCCACCCCCCCCCAGGCAGCCCACACCAGGATTAAAACCCCAGGAAAGGACCCAAACCTAGAGAGTCTTTTAAGAGGGACCCCTTTGAAAGAGACCCTGGCTAAGGTGTCCTTTCAAAATTTTTAAAACTAATTGGGGGAATGAAAAACGGTGGGAACAAGGTTTGAACAGCAGAATTTTTTAAACCTTTTTTTCAAAAATTTAGCTCCCACGAAAGGGGGGCCGGGGAGGGTAGTGGTTGGGTTTTGGTGGGTGGGGGGTTTGTGGTGGGGGGTTGGTTGGGGGGTTTGGGGGGGGGTGGGGGCGGCGGGGCCTGGGGGGGGGCTCCCCTCCATTTAGACCCCCTTTAAATGGAGTTTTTCTCTAGGAAAAAAAAAAACCCTTTTAACCCCGCCTGCAGGTCTAACCTGATGGAGGTGTTTGGTTCCTTAGGGAGTGCGAAACATGCCTCCCTCCCGGTTGTTTTCCGCCCGAACTAAGAAGAGAGGAAAAAAGAGAACAGGGGGGGAAAAAGAGAGAGAGAGAGAGAGAGAGAGAGAGAAGAGAGGAGAGAGGAAGGGGAAAATAAGCGAGAGAGCGGGAGAAAAGGAAAAAAGAAAAAAAGAGGGAAAGGGGAAAGAGAGAGAGAAAATTAAATGAGCACACTCTTGAAAAATTAGCTTCTACAAATATTGAAATTGACATGGTTTTTAGAGTGAAGTACATTGGAAAAAACAAAAAGAACTGCAAGACTGAATGGGAGACAAAACAAGCAACAAATGAAGAAGATAGGCTTGAGAAAAAGTATCTATTTTTATAAAATTGTACAGTTATCTTAGCTAGCTGGATTGTTTACCAGTTGCTAAGCAGTTGCTAGGGACTCTTCTAAAAGAAGCTAGCTAGCTAACAATTCAGAACAATAATCTCTAATTACACTAGAGACAATAATACAAGAAACAACACTGTTTTGAACATTGTAGCCAACATGGTTTGATGATGGGACGGAACCATAAATGCCTGTTTGCAGATCTTACCAGTTGCAAAACAAAAGCAATTTTAATATTTAACACCAAACATATGGAAAAGGGGTTATTTGCAACCATTTCCCTTTCTCAAAAAAGAAAGGCATCAGCCAAGCATGTCAGATCAGCATTTTTGAAGGAGCTGACCAGAGCAACACATATTAAACAGTCAACTTATACAATAATGGAACTGTTTTGATTACAAGGCAATGATTCAAGCCTCCAGGCTTTTGAGAATGTGTTTGTACCCTAAAAGTAGAAGCTGAACTCATCTCAGAAGCTGAGGAAAAAGTAAAGGAGGGGAGATGATGGAGAAAAGCCCCAGCAGCCCCCAACAGCCTCTGTGACCCCAGCAAGAAGCCCTCAGTGCCCTCTACCTACAGCTGCAGCAGACAGAGCCAAGGACATGCATACAACACCAAGAACACCTGCTATGCAACGTTTCCACAACACCCTCTCTCTAGTTGAAGCAGAGGTCATAGAACTCAGAGGAGAACAAGCTTCAAGAGGATGACACTGTCCAGAAACTGAAAGAAGAGATGAAACAGTTCAGGGAGGAAAGCAGAGCATCTATTGCTAAATTAAAAAGCAGAATGGACAAACTGAGTCAGACAAATGATGACCTCAGAGACCATCTGAGCACACACAAGAGAGGTTACATTGACACCCTCAACCAGCAGCTGGTCATTATGTCCTCTGCATCTAGAGAACATGTCCACCAGCTTGGTACAACACAGGTTAGAAACTGAGACCAGCATAACCAGCATGGCCTCCACCACACAGCCTGATGACACTGCACCAGCCTCCCAGTCTGATCCAGCCCAGGTCAGTCTACCAGCCTCCCAGTCTGCTCCCGCCCAGGTCAGCCTACCAGCCTCCCAGTGTGCTCCAGCACAGTGTGCTCAAGCCCAGTTCAACCTACCAGCCTCCCAGTCTGATCCCGCCCAGGTCAACCTACCAGCCTCCCAGTCTGCTCCAGCCCAGGTCAACCTACCAGCCTCCCAGTCTGCTCCAGCCCAGGTCAGCCAACCAGCCTCCCAGTCTGCTCCAGCCCAGGTCAGCCTACCAGCCTCCCAGTCTGCTCCAACCCAGGTCAACCTACCAGCCTCCCAGTCTGCTCCAGCCCAGGTCAGAATACCAGCCTCCCAGTCTGCTCCAGCCCAGGTCAACCTACCCAGCCTCCCCCAGTCTGCTCCAGCCCAGGTCAAGCTACCAGCCTCCCAGTCTGCTCCAGCCCAGGTCAACCTACCAGCCTCCCAGTCTGCTCTAGCCCAGGTCAACCTACCAGCCTCCCAGTGTCTGCTCAGCCCAGGTCAACCTACCAGCCTCCCAGTCTGCTCCAGCCCAGGTCAGCCTACCAGCCTCCCCAGTCTGCTCCAGCCCCAGGTCAGCCTACCAGCCTCCCAGTCTGCTCCAGCCCAGGTCAACCTACCAGCCTTCCCAGTCTGCTCCAACCTCCCAGTCTGCTCCACCTAGACAATCACCCACAACTGCAATCTTTATCGATTCAAATGGGAAGTTCTTGGTCCAGGAAAGATTATTCCCTAGACACCAGGTTGTAAAAGTTATGGTGTCCTACAACTGAGAGTGCAATGCAGCTACACAGTCAGACCAGGATTGACACCCCTGACAACATCATCATCCACACCGGCACAAACGACCATCGTGCCAAAGGTGAAAATGTATCTGGGGCAGTGAGAAGAGTGGCAGAACGGGCCCAGGCTATGTTCCCAACAACCAATCTAGTTGTTTCCACCCTCCTACCAAGAAAAACACTTCCCAGGACAGTTGATTGACAAAATAAATCAACAGATCTTGATCAGGAGAGTGTCAGAACCTTTGCTAAGGACCTTAAGGATGCAACACTTGGCAGGGACCCACACACACATCACCCCAGCAGCAGAGACATTTACATTTACATTACATTTACCTCATTTAGCAGACGCTCTTATCCAGAGCGACTTACAAATAGGTGCATTCACCTTATAGCCAGTGGGATAACCACTTTACAATGTTTATTTATTATTATTATTTTTTTTTATTTTTTTGCGGGGGGGGGGTTGGCTTGGAGTAAAGGGGGGGGGGTAGAAGGATTACTTTATCCTATCCCAGGTATTCCTTAAAGAGGAATCGTGAGGGAGCTTGTTCCACCATTGGGGTGCCAGAGCAGCGAGCAGTTTTGACTGGGCTGAGCGGGAACTATGCTTCCGCAGAGGTAGGGGAGCCAGCAGGCCAGAGGTGGATGAACGCAGTGCCCTCGCTTGGGTGTAGGGACTGATCAGAGCCTGAAGGTACGGAGGTGCCGTTCCCCTCACAGCTCCGTAGGCAAGCACCATGGTCTTGTAGCAGATGCGAGCTTCAACTGGAAGCCAGTGGAGTGTGCGGAGGAGCGGGGGTGACGTGAGAGAACTTGGGAAGGTTGAACACCAGACGGGCTGCAGCATTCTGGATGAGTTGTAGGGGTTTAATGGCACAGGCAGGGAGCCCAGCCAACAGCGAGTTGCAGTAATCCAGACGGGAGATGACAAGTGCCTGGATTAGGACCTGTGCCGCTTCCTGTGTAAGGCAGGGTCGTACTCTCCGAATGTTGTAGAGCATGAACCTACAGGATCGGGTCACCGCCTTGATGTTAGCGGAGAACGACAGGGTGTTGTCCAGGGTCATGGAACGGGCAGTCCTTCCCCGTGAGGAAGAGCAGCTCCGTCTTGCCGAGGTTCAGCTTGAGGTGGTGATCCATCATCCATACTGATATGTCTGCCAGACATGCAGAGATGGGATTCGCCACCTGGTTATCAGAAGGGGGAAAGGAGAAGATTAGTTGTGTGTCGTCAGCGTAGCAATGATAGGAGAGGCCATGTGAGGATATGACAGAGCCAAGTGACTTGGTGTATAGCGAGAACAGGAGAGGGCCTAGAACTGAGCCCTGGGGGACACCAGTGGTGAGAGCACGTGGTGCGGAGACAGCTTCTCGCCACGCCACTTGGTAGGAGCGACCGGTCAGGTAGGACGCAATCCAAGAGTGAGCCGCGCCGGAGATGCCCAGCTCGGAGAGGGTGGAGAGGGCTGGTTCACAGTATCAAAGGCAGCAGACAGGTCTAGAAGGACAAGAGCAGAGGAGAGAGAGTTAGCTTTAGCAGTGCGGAGAGCCTCTGTGACACAGAGAAGAGCAGTCTCAGTTGAATGACCAGTCTTGAAACCTGACTGGTTTGGATCAAGAAGGTAATTCTGAGAGAGATAGCAAGAGAGTTGGCTAAAGACGGCACGCTCAATAGTTTTGGAGAGAAAAGAAAGAAGGGATACTGGTCTGTAGTTGTTGACATCAGAGGGATCGAGTGTTGGTTTTTTGAGAAGGGGTGCAACTCTCGCTCTCTTGAAGACGGAAGGGACTTAGCCAGCGGTCAAGGATGAGTTGATCAGCGAGGTGAGGTAGGGGAGAAGGTCACCGGAGATGGTCTGGAGAAGAGAGGAGGGGATAGGGTCAAGCGGGCAGGTTGTTGGGCGGCCTGCCGTCACAAGTCGCAAGATTTTATCTGGAGAGAGAGGGGAGAAAGAAGTCAAAGCGTAGGGCAGTGTGAGCAGGACCAGCAGTGTCATTTGACTTAACAAACGAGGATCGGATGTCGTCAACCTTCTTTTCAAAATGGTTGACGAAGTCATCCACAGAGAGGGAGGAGGGGGGGGGGGGATTCAGCAGGGAGGAGAATGTGGCAAAGAGCTTCCTAGGGTTAGAGGCGGATGCTTGGAATTTAGAGTGGTAGAAAGTGGCCTTAGCAGCAGAAACAGATGAAGAAAATGTAGAGAGGAGGGAGTGAAAAGATGCCAGGTCTGCAGGGAGTCTAGTTTTCTTCCATTTCCGCTCAGCTGCCCGGAGCTCTGTTCTGTGAGCTCGCAATGAGTCATCAAGCCACGGAGCTGGAGGGGAGGACCGAGCCGGCCGGGAGGATAGGGGACATAGAGAGTCAAAGGATGCAGAAAGGGAGGAGAGGAGGGTTGAGGAGGCAGAATCAGGAGATTGGAGGGAGAAGGATTGAGCAGAGGGAAGAGATGATAGGATGGAAGAGGAGAGAGTAGCGGGAGAGAGAGAGCGAAGGTTGTGACGGCGCATTACCATCTGTGTAGGGGCAGAGTGAGTAGTGTTGGAGGAGAGGGAGAGAGAAAATGATACAAAGTAGTGGTCGGAGACAGGGGAGGGGAGTTGCAGTGAGATTAGTAGAAGAACAGCATCTAGTAAAGATGAGGTCAAGCGTATTGCCTGCCTTGTGAGTAGGGGGGGGGGGGGGGGGGGGCGGTGAGAGGGTGAGGTCAAAAGAGGAGAGGAGTGGAAAGAAGGAGGCAGAGAGAAATGAGTCAAATGTAGACGTAGGGAGGTTGAAATCCCCCAGAACTGTGAGGGGTGAGCCATCCTCAGGAAAGGAACTTATCAAGGCGTCAAGCTCATTGATGAACTCTCCAAGGGAACCTGGAGGGCGATAGATGACAAGGATATTAAGCTTAAATGGGCTAGTGACTGTGACAGCATGGAATTCAAATGAGGAGATAGACAGATGGGTCAGGGGAAAAAATTGAGAATGTCCACTTGGGAGAGATGAGGATTCCTGTGCCACCACCCCGCTGACCAGATGCTCTCGGGGTATGCGAGAACACATGGTCAGACGAGGAGAGAGCAGCAGGAGTAGCAGTGTTTTCAGTGGTAATCCATGTTTCCGTCAGCGCCAAGAAGTCGAGGGACTGGAGGGTAGCATAGGCTGGGATGAAGTCTGCCTTGTTGGCAGCAGAACGGCAGTTCCAGAGGCTGCCTGAGACCTGGAACTCCACGTGGGTCGTGCGTGCAGGGACCACCAGGTTAGAGAGGCAGCAGCCACGCAGTGTGAGGCGTTTGTGTAGCCTGTGCGGAGAGGAGAGAACAGGGATAGGCAGAGGCATAGTTGACAGGGTGCAGCAGATGGCTACAATAATGCAGAGGAGATCGGAATAAAATGAACTAAACATCTGGGAAAGGAGAGAGCGGGGCCTCCCTCACCACAACTCCCAAATATAACTCTCCCAACTTCCACCTCAGAAACTATAACTGTTGTAAACTACAGCGGTTCAATGTTTTCTAGGAATAGACTAACCTAGTTTATTCAGCTAGCTAACTAGGTGCAGTATTATTCCGTGAAAAACGTCCGGGCACCTCGTCATAAGACGCCACAGCCAGCTAGCATGCCGGTCTCCAACAGCAGGGTTTAGCGCCAATACTCAGCCACAACAACCACCAGTGTATCAACACTCAAGCAGATCATTCGTGTCCGTGTCTAACGTTGTGGGTTAGTCCCGACAGCTTGAGTGCGTCCGTCGTCAACTTATTCAGCCAGTTAGTTAGCTAGAATAGTTAGCAAACTAGCTAGCCATTGCTTTCAGACAAAGAAGAACCCCTCCTTTCACAGCACGAACACACAGAGAGAGCCAAACTAACGTTAACTAGTCACCCATGTCCCGAATTCCTTGACCGACTCGGGCTATCAATATGTAAAAAACAAAACACAAGTGTAGGTTATGACTTACCCCTAGCAGCTACTGTTAGCTAGCCAAGTGCAAAGCTAGCCACTGAATTGACTCAGCCAGTTCGCGTCTGTTCGCTCGGTCGTTCCAGCTATTGTTTACAAGTAGCTATCCAGGTTGCAACAAGCTTGCTAATTTTCAAGCACAGTAGCCACTTGCTACCTAACGTTAACGGTTCAGACAATGAGGTTAGAAAACAGCTGAATGGTAGGCAGTTATTGTATGTAACTATTGTAGGCAGCCAGCTGGCGTAATTACAGGCACTCTCAGGCGTGAAACAACTATAACGTTGCAAATAGCTACTCGCCAGCTAGTCCAGGTGGTGAGATAGCTAGCTAGCCCCCCCCCCCCACCCCACACCTTCTGAAACAACAGTACCCCCACCATCCCCAGGAGAGAAGAGCCAGACACGGCTTATTACAGCACAGCTCTACAAGACCGGGCCCAACACAGCACAGATTTACAAGACCAGACCTGCCTCAGGACAGCACAACCAGACCCAGCCAATCACAACACAGCTCTACTAGACCCGGCCCATCACAACACAGCTCTACTAGACCCGGCCCATCACAACACAGCTCTACTAGACCCGGCCCATCACAACACAGCTCTAGTAGACCCGGCCCATCACAACACAGCTCTATTAGAACCGGCCCATCACAAAACAGCTCTACTAGACCCGGCCCATCACAACACAGCTCTACTAGACCCGACCCATCACAACACAGCTCTATTAGACCCGGCCCATCACAACACAGCTCTACTAGACCAGGCCCATCACAACACAGCTCTATTAGACCCGGCCCATCACAACACAGCTCTACTAGACCAGGCCCATCACAACACAGCTCTACTAGACCCGGCCCATCACAACACAGCTCTATTAGACCCGGCCCATCACAACACAGCTCTAGTAGACCTGACCCATCACAACACAGCTCTACTAGACCCGGCCCATCACAACACAGCTCTACTAGACCCGACCCGTCACAACACAGCTCTACTAGACCCGGCCCATCACAACACAGCTCTACTAGACCCGACCCATCACAACACAGCTCTACTAGACCCGGCCCATCACAACACAGCTCTACTAGACCCGACCCATCACAACACAGCTCTACTAGACCAGGCCCATCACAACACAGCTCTACTAGACCCGACCCATCACAACACAGCTCTACTAGACCAGGCCCATCACAACACAGCTCTACTAGACCCGGCCCATCACAACACAGCTCTACTAGACCCGAACAATCACAACACAGTTCTACTAGACCCGGCCCATCACAACACAGCTCTACTAGACCCGGCCTATCACAACACAGCTCTACTAGACCTGACCCATCACAACACAGCTCTACTAGACCCGACCCATCACAACACAGCTCTATTAGACCCGGCCCATCACAACACAGCTCTACTAGACCCGGCCCATCACAACACAGCTCTACTAGACCAGGCCCATCACAAAACAGCTCTACTAGACCCGGCCCTTCACAACACAGCTCTATTAGACCCGGCCCATCACAACACAGCTCTAGTAGACCTGACCCATCACAACACAGCTCTACTAGACCCGGCCCATCACAACACAGCTCTACTAGACCCGGCCCATCACAACACAGCTCTACTAGACCTGACCCATCACAACACAGCTCTACTAGACCCGGCCCATCACAACACAGCTCTACTAGACCCGGCCCATCACAACACAGCTCTACTAGACCCGGCCCATCACAACACAGCTCTACTAGACCTGACCCATCACAACACAGCTCTACTAGACCCGACCCATCACAACACAGCTCTACTAGACCAGGCCCATCACAACACAGCTCTACTAGACCCGGCCCATTACGGCACAGCACTGACCACTACTCTAGGGTCGGGCAGAACACTGTCCTTCAGAGAAGGTGACCACATGATGCAGTCCACACAATGTATCATTCAGAACATCAGCCTACATATGCTGAGGTAACCTCTGGAAAAAGACACCTAGAACTATCAGAGATTGGAGAGGTGCGCCAACTACTGCATCTAATATGCAGACTATTGGACTAGACAAACCCATTAATTCACACACACACACACACACACACACACACACACACACCACACACACACACACACACACACACACATACACACACACACACACACACACACACAAGAAACACATACGTACAAGGGGTTGCAGATTGCATTGCATTGCATTGCAAGCAGGACTTAGCGCTGAATCACTAAGCTAAGGATCCTGGGACTAAACACCTCCCTCTGCAACTGGATCCTGGACTTCCTGACGGGCCGCCCCCAGGTGGTAAGGGTAGGTAACAACACATCTGCCACACTGATCCTCAACACGGGGCCCCCTCAGGGGTGCGTGCTCAGTCCCCTCCTGTACTCCCTGTTCACCCATGACTGCATGGCCAGGCACGACTCCAACACCATCATTAAGTTTGCCGACGACACAACACTGGTAGGCCTGATCACCGACAACGATGAGACAGCCTATAGGGAGGAGGTCAGAGACCTGGCCGTGTGGTGCCAGGATAACAACCTCTCCCTCAACGTGACCAAGACAAAGGAGATGATTGTGGACTACAGGAAAAAAAAGAGGACTGAGCACGCCCCCATTCTCATCGACGGGGCTGTAGTGGAACAGGTTGAGAGCTTCAAGTTCCTTGGTGTAAACATCACCAACGAACTATCATGGTCCAAACACACCCAGACAGTCGTGAAGAGGGCACGACAAAGCCTATTCCCCCTCAGGAGACTGAAAAGATTCGGCATGGGTCCTCAGATCCTCAAAAAATTCTACAGCTGCACCATCGAGAGCATCCTAACTGGTTGCATCCCTGCCTGGTATGGCAACTGCTTGGCCTCCGACCGCAAGGCACTACAGAGGGTAGTGCGTACGGCCCAGTACATCACTGGGGCCAAGCTTCCTGCCATCCAGGACCTCTATACCAGGCGGTGGCAGAGGAAGGCCCTCAAAATTGTCAAAGACTCCAGCCACCCTAGTCATAGACTGTTCTCTCTGCTACCGCACGGCAAGCGGTACCGGAGTGCCAAGTCTAGGTCCAAAATACTTCTCAACAGCTTCTACCCCCAAGCTATAAGACTCCTGAACAGCTAATCATGGCTACCTGGACTATTTGCACTGCCCCCCCACCCCATCTTTTTACGCTGCTGCTACTCTGTTAATTATTTATGCATAGTCACTTTAACTCTACCCACAAGTACATATTACTTCAACTACCTCAACTAGCCGGTGCCCCCGCACATTGTCTCTGCACCGGTACCCCCCTGTATATATAGCCTCCCTAATGTTATTTTATTTTACTTCTGCTCTTTTTTTCTCAACACTTTTTTGTTGTTGTTTTATTTTACTTTTTTCTTAAAAATAAATGCACTGTTGGTTAAGGGCTGTAAGTAGGCATTTCACTGTAATGTCTGCACCTGTTATATTCGGCGCATGTGGCCAATAACATTTGATTTGATTTGATTTGAATGAAATGAAAAAAGGTACTAACCACATTTGGCTAAAACTTAACAAAGGTACAATCTATTGTGACAATGATGTATACATATGTGCAGTTTATGCTCCTCCTTCGGATTCATCATATTATGATGATCCGTTTTTTGACAATCTACATACAGAAATCCTTCAATTTCAACCACCACATATTTGGACACTCCTCCCTGTACAGTAGCCCTATTATAAATAATAGAAACAGTCCTGACCAAATACTGAACAAAAACGGGAAGTGCACCTCTGTTGAGCCTTAGGCCTGTATATGCTTAATGGTAGAATCAGAGGAGACTCTTTAGGTCTCCTCCTCTTTAGGTCTCCTCCTCTGAAACCAGCAATACTCATAAAAAAAACTGCCCAATAAACTCTACAACATGAAGCAATCGAACAGATGGGCTCCAAACAGCACAGAGAAATTCATTGAAACATTGAACTCAAATGAAATGATTAACTCTATACAGGTCTTCAATAACTCACAATACCAAAACAATAAAGAAGGTTTCAATTCGGCTACTCAAAACATCAATTGCATATTCCAAAAATAAGCATCAAAAGCAAATTTGAGAAAACCAAAGAAATGCAACATCAGAAAAAAAAAGAAAAAAAGTTTCTGGAAAATGGTTTGATGACGAAGGTAAAGCAATTAGAAAACGCCTAAGAAAAGTTTCAAAAGCAGCAAAACAACCCAGAGCTACACTATGAATACTTTGAAACTCTGAAACAGTATAAACATACACTGAAATGCAATGAATTGAATTATACCAATAAAACACTTGATGAAATTGAAAACGCAATTGACCAAAATCAGTTCTGGGACATGTAGACAAATTTAAGCATGACAAAGCCACAAGAATTAGCCATACAAGATGAAGGAATTTGGAAAACTTATTTTGATAATCTATACAAAAACATCCCAAATAAAGACTTACAACATAACCAATTAGAAATTCAAGATAAATTGAACATCCTTGAATTAGTCATTTAAAACAAACAAAATCCATTAGATTACCCAATAACCCAACAAGAACTATATGAAAAGCTAAAATCTATAAAACCAAAGATGTCTTGTGGTCTAGATAACATCAGAAATGAAATGCTGAAAAACAGCACACCTGAGTTGAAAAAAACTGTGCTTAAATTGTTCAACATGATACTAACTTCTGGCTGCTTTCCTGATGTCTGGAACCAGGGGCTCATCTCCCCTATCCACAAAAGTGGAGACAAATCAGACCCCAATAATTACAGGGGAATATGCGTAAACAGCAACTTGGGAAAGGTTTTCTGTAGCATTTTGAATTCAAGAATTCAAACCTTACTTCAATAAAAAAAATGTATAAGTAAATGTCAAAATGGCTTTCTCCCAACCCATCGCACTACTGACCATATATACAGTGAGGGAAAAAAGTATTTGATCCCCTGCTGATTTTGTACGTTTGCCCACTGACAAAGAAATGATCAGTCTATAATTTTAATGGTAGGTTTATTTGAACAGTGAGAGACAGAATAACAACAGAAAAATCCAGAAAAACGCACGTCAAAAATCGTATAAATTGATTTGCATTTTAATGAGGGAAATTAGTATTTGACCTGTACTTGGTGGCAAAACCCTTGTTGGCAATCACAGAGGTCAGACGTTTCTTGTAGTTGGCCACCAGGTTTGCACACATCTCAGGAGGGATTTTGTCCCACTCGTCTTTGCAGATCTTCTCCAAGTCATTAAGGTTTCGAGGCTGACGTTTGGCAACTCGAACCTTCAGCTCCCTCCACAGATTTTCGATGGGATTAAGGTCTGGAGACTGGCTAGGCCACTCCAGGACCTTAATGTGCTTCTTCTTGAGCCACTCCTTTGTTGCCTTGGCCGTGTGTTTTGGGTCATTGTCATGCTGGAATACCCATCCACGACCCATTTTCAATGCCCTGGCTGAGGGAAGGAGGTTCTCACCCAAGATTTGACGGTACATGGCCCCGTCCATTGTCCCTTTGATGCGGTGAAGTTGTCCTGTCCCCTTCGCAGAAAAACATCCCCAAAGCATAATGTTTCCACCTCCATGTTTGACGGTGGGGATGGTGTTCTTAGGGTCATAGGCCGCATTCCTCCTCATCCAAACATGGCAAGTTGAGTTGATGCCAAAGAGCTCCATTTTGGTCTCATCTGACCACAACACTTTCACCCAGTTCTCCTCTGAATCATTCAGATGTTCATTGGCAAACTTCAGACGGGCCTGTATATGTGCTTTCTTGAGCAGGGGGACCTTGCGGGCGCTGCAGGATTTCAGTCCTTCACGGCGTAGTGTGTTACCAATTGTTTTCTTGGTGACTATGGTCCCAGCTGCCTTGAGATCATTGACAAGATCCTCCCGTGAAGTTCTGGGCTGATTCCTCACCGTTCTCATGATCATTGCAACTCCACGAGGTGAGATCTTGCATGGAGCCCCAGGCCGAGGAAGATTGACAGTTATTTTGTGTTTCTTCCATTTGCGAATAATCGCACCAACTGTTGTCATCTTCTGCCCAAACTGCTTGGCGATGGTCTTGTAGCCCATTCCAGCCTTGTGTAGGTCTACAATCTTGTCCCTGACATCCTTGGAGAGCTCTTTTGTCTTGGCCATGGTGGAGAGTTTGGAATCTGATTGATTGCTTCTGTGGACAAGTGTCTTTTATACAGGTAACAAGCTGAGATTAGGAGCACTCCCTTTAAGAGTGTGCTCCTAATCTCAGCTCGTATAAAAGACACCTGGGAGCCAGAAATCTTTCTGATTGAGAGGAGGTCAAATACTTATTTCCCTCATTAAAATGCAAATCAATGTATAACAATTTTGACATTCTGGATTTTGTTGTTGTTATTCTGTCTCTCACTGTTCAAATAAACCTACCATTAAAATTATAGACTGATCATTTCTTTGTCAGTGGGAAAACGTACAAAATCAGCAGGGGATAAACAATTTTTTTCCCTCACTGTTTACCTTACACACACGAATTAATAAACACGTCCACCAAATAAAAGAGGGCCAAATATTTTCTTGCTTTATTGACTTTAAAATAGCATTTGATTGTAGGGCTATTCTTCAACATTCTCCAAAGTGGGCTTGGTGGTAAGGTGTATGTACACAGAAAACAAGTGTGCAATCAAAATCAGAAACCAAAGAACATTATTATTTTTTCAACTTCGAGGTATGAGACAAGGCTGCAGTTTGAGTCCAAACCTTTTCAACATTTATGTCAATGAATTAGCAGACATTCTGCAGCCCCAGGACTCACACTATTTGACATAGAGGTAAAATACCTGCTATATGCTGATGATTTGGTTCTTCTATCACCAACCAAAGAAGGTCTTCAACAGAACCTTAACATTCTAGAGCAATATTGCCATAATTGGGCCCTGGCAGTAAAAAAAAAAAAAATGAAAATAATGATTTTCCAGAAAAAACCCAGATGTCAGAAACACAAATATACATTCACCCTGAACAACACCATAATTGAACACATTAAAAATTACTCATACCTTGGTCTGACCATATCTGCATTGGGAAACTTTAATATGGCAGTGAATGCACTCAAAGAAAAAGCCTGCAGAGCATTATATGCAATAAAAATGAAATTATTCAAAATCAACATCTCAATTAGAATTTGGACCAAAATATTTGATAGCATAATCCTACCAATAGCTCTTTACGGAAGTGAGGTTTGGGGCTCACTCAATAAACTGGACTTTAAAATGTGGGACAAACATCCAATTGAAGCCCTACATGCAGAAATCTGGCGGGAAATTCTACAAGTCCAAAGAAATACACCAACTAATGCATGTAGGGCAGAATTGGACCGCTTTCCAGTGGTAATGAAAGTACAAAAAATATAATTAAATCTTTGCCTACACCTAAATTCAAGTCCAAATTCAAGTCTCCAATTTAAAGCACTTCAAACCCAAGAGCTGAGCCCAGAAACAAGCCCTCTCAGTCAGCTGGTGTTGGACCTAACCAACCAAGCTGACACCAGCACTGCTTCAAAAGAAATAATTCAAATAAACAAAATCATGAACCAATCAAAGACTCATATTTACAACATTGGAAAAACGAAACAAAATCCCAAAGCCGACTAAATTGCTATCTGGCGCTGAACAGAGAATATGAATTGGCTGATTATCTCTACTCTGTCAGAGATATGAAGCAGAGACAGATCCTTACCAAGTACAGGCTGCGTGACCACCAAT